CCGCAACAACACGACTTTCTCTTGGCAAAAAACTGCTACGAGGTTGCTTCACAACTTTATGCATCCATGAGAAAATGAACCTTTAGGAGGTTGAAGGGAAGGCTTATTAGTGTCACAAATAAAAAATTGGTATTTTGAAACGCCCGTTATATGGCTTTTGACAGAAACAGTCCCAAGCTATCCTATAGTTTGATAGAAAGTACTCACTTTGTTCGTCTTCCTTTTCCGAGTCGATGTTCTCCAAGCTGCCCATTGACGAGTGCCGAGAAATCCTCTTCTGAAGATGGTGGAATCTCTCACCAAACTGCTTGGCGTTGACACCCAACAACGATTTCCTAATGCCGGGAACTGCAGCGTATAGCTCTCTGTAAGGAAGTTTTGTTCATTCAGTATTCTTGTGCTAATAAGTAATCCTTTCTTCTTCCAGATTTGGCTACCATTCAATTAACACATTGACGACATTGAGACGCGTTACCGCGTCTCACCCTTATCATCCCTTTTTCTAGGGCATGCGCAGCTTTTTCCCGAATTGTTTGTCTCTCTTCTATGGATTAGAACATAACATTATTGTGAACGACATAGGTCATTGTTTGTTCAAATATGCTCCAGTTTAGAAGAAGTTTTCCAAGCTCACCGAAACCGGCGGCTTGGTTCATTAATAGTTTTCATGCTATTCTCATGAACACGTCAATAAAAAAGGGTAGTGAAAGTAAATGCAAATCTAAAGAGACAGAAAAATACATGTTTCACTTGGTATAACCACATCAAAAGAGCTTTTGGCATCCACTACAGATAAAATGACTAAAATTTCCTTTTTCATTACCATTACATGTTCTTTAATCGGAACTTCGTCACTATATACTCTATTACCTTCTACGCATTGACTGTTACTGAGATGTTTTTGTACCACTGGTGCTTTAAAAAGTTATCAATAAAAATTCACGGATCCGAGGTGCGGCGGTCGCACTCGCAAAATCGGCCCGGTCCCACACGGCCAAAAAAGCCAAAACGCGCGCGGTCGTCAATGTGTTAAACAAATAATTTTATTGATAAATAGTACCTTACTACCGGTGATGGTTAGATTACAGCTCGGCAGATTTCACTAATTGCATTCATTTCCGTCGATCAATTAAATCTACTTATTTTGGTGGCGAAACTCTCCGAACCAGGGTCAACCGTACGTTCAGACTATTCAAACGAGGTCGCATCTGCGATTTTGTGAGAATAGGGACACATTCGGGATTGAGCAAGGTAAACTATCTCTGGAAAAGTGTTAGTTGATCGCGTTTGTAGTATAATAGCTTGAGAGGTGGTGGAGCGGGAGCGGTGAGTCGTTTTCGATGATTTCGGCGAATATTCACGAGAGTAGCGTGAAATAGATCTTTCGAAGGTAGATTTTGCTGCTGTCCAACCAATCTATCCCCCCTGTGGGTTCGCGGCGCGTCGAAGAGTTTGGCTGTGTCGACTGGTCTCTTCGTCAGAATCAAATTACCATAGGAACAGCAATGATGGTGAGGGATGTGGTAGGGGGAGGATCGTAATGGGGAGCCTCCCACGACTATGACGATGGTAGCACTTGCATTGACTCTTCAACCTCCACCGAGGTGGAAGTCACAAAATTTTGGGGAAAAGTGCGAACGGGACTGTTGGCATTACTACGAACAACCCCATCCACTCATCTACTGAAAAGGAAACCGTCAGGGATATGGCCGTTTCTTCCAGCCACGACAATGTCCACCCACATAGATCCATCGAGCTTCTACTTTAGGTCCTTTAGGTTTACGATTCGGTGAACTTGCTTTAGGTCTGCATTTGAAAATCGCAGTCCGAACAATCATTGAAAAGAGCAAACTATTTTCATATGTGTAGTTGTGTTGTATATTGTGTATTCTGTTGATAACTACACACCAGTGCGTCAAAGCCTTATCCCGGTGACTATTTTAGAAAACAGGCCGGGTGCAGTGCCCACCTATGTAGACATATTCAACTAGGTTTCTAACATCAGTGCACTACCTTGTATGCCGGTTGCTGGCAACGGTTTTCGTGTTCTCGCCCACCATTGGATTATACTGTTTATAAACATAAGTAATGTACCGTAGCCGATTTTTCCCAGTGTTCACATCGTATAAGGTGAGAGCAAACAGCAATGAGTCCCTGAACTTTGTTCCATACGAGAGATCCGAATCGAAGATGTTCGGCACTGCTGCTCTAAAATACTCGTGAGTAGAATAAGGATCCCATGAATTCATCTAGAAATGGCATTGGCCCTATTTTTTACGAGTTGGACAGGTTCAAAAAGACGTTTGAAAAGGGATATCGCTTGAAAATTACAAAAGGGAGATTAGAGGGTAGGAGAGGAACTGTCTAGAAGATCAAAAGAAGAAGAAACCTCAATAGTACAACAAAAGTTACCTCCAAAACTGTACAGTGTTGTAGCCAAGTGAGGTTACAAGTAATTCAAAACATTGATGATCCTCCATTGAATGGGCAAGACAGTACTCCAGTATAAATAACAAACCCTGAAAAAATGTCTTCCATTTCTTGATACAGGGCTTCTCGTGGCACCGAATTGGCAAGACTGCTGCTTCAAAGTTTCACATAATACAATCCAATTCGTTTTCAAATAAATGTCAGAAATTATTTATTTTCCAACCCATTATTACACTACCTGTGCGCCTCAGTCATGGCAGCGTAATCTCTCGCGGTCCAGCAAATTCATCATCCACTTACGGTGGCACCAAATGTCAAAGCAGCATCCTAATTGTGGAGAAGGAGATTGAAGGAGCACCCTGCGCTCTCCGCCTCCCAAGGAAAATTCTATGTTTTCTGTGGGTGCTTTTGCTTCTCCCCACAGACCCTCCTCCTCCTTCTTGTCTAATTTTCGAACAACACACACAAATTCTTTCGCAACCTATAGTTTTGAAGGAACATAGACTAGAAGGTAATAGGTAGTAATACAATTGCTTATACAACATAAATTCATGTATTCAAGGATATATCTTTCCGATGCGACAGAAAGGTGAAATTAAAAATCATGAGTAAATACTTACCCTTAAATATCTTTCTGAATGAGCATCTCTTTTTCTCCATGAAGCAATCAGTGGCCCAACAGCTGAACCGACTACCGTCAAGCCGTCTCCTTCTTTAACATGCATATCTAGCTTGGAAAGTATTCGTTGCAACTGCTGTAAAAGTTGAATATTTGGAAATTTGTCTGATATCTGAAGAGAAACTCATTCTGTAACTCCTATATCTTGATTCTTTTGGCTTCCACCTTCTTTTTTCCCGACCTGTTCCTCATCCCTTTCTGACCCTGTTTTTTCCTTCTCACTTCTTCCTCACTGCTTTTATTTCTTCCAACTATTTCTTTGCTTACAGTTCTACCTTTTTCTTACGAAATTTACCTCCAGCTGCTCATAGCTTTGTTCCTGCCTACTTCATGTTTGCTTTCCATAAATACTTTTTAAACGGTTTTCTCCTCCACATTCAGCTCCGATTTTCTACAAACGCCGTGCTATCATTTTTCTCCACGCTATCCATCCCTTCACAATTCATGTCCTATCTGCGCGGACTCCCGCACTCTTTTTGTTTCTCCCTTCATGCTAGCCCATGTCTCCTCCCAGTATGGCAACCAGTCAGATGTCCTTTTTATCTTCATGTGAAGTTTTTTGATTGGTAAATTTTCGATCATTAGCCCACTAGTACTGCACCTCGCATTTCCCACACCCATCTCAATAACATATGTAGCTTCTCCAACATTCCTTTCACCTGCTTGTTACTTTCTAGAACTTTGACTTATATTATGTCGTACGCAACTGTAAGTTAAGAGAACTTCCATGCGGACCATGGAACAGTGCGTAAACGCAGAAGTTTTTTGACGAAATATAGTAGGTACGGACCAGGGTCAACCGTCCGTTCGAACTGTTCGAACGAAGGGGTCGCATTTTGGTCGGAAGGGGGTCGCAATTTCGAGGACTGTCAGCCACAGGCGCGTGCGTGGCGTATCCGAGGGCAAGAATTGTTTGTGCAGACCGCATTAGATTCGATTAATTATGCACAAAGAGACAGTTTTGGGCAAATTACGGTGTTTTCCTTGAGGAATAGAGAACAGTTGAATGCATCTCCATGAAAAGTTTGACTTCTTGTGGCTGAAATTGAACTTCTTCGGGAACCTACTTTTCTACGGACGGTTCTTCCACAAAATCGTGAAACACATAAGAAAGAAGAAACCTCGCGGTCTTCAAAAATGTCTTCGCCTCTTTCCAACATGCTCTTTGAAGGAAGTTATTATTGCTGAAAGCTCGAAACCTCGCATGTGCTGCTCAAAAACCTATGGGATCCAAATGTTCGAACGTGGGATTTTCTCGAAAAATGAACTTTGAAAAATGGTTTAGGGCTTGTTAGAAAGAGCAAATTCTGCTCTTTCACCCCATGGAAAGAGGGAAACGCAGCAATCAAAATGAAGCGAGTTATGCTCGTTGAAAGCCCAAAAACTCGCGATTTCAAAGAATGTGTTCGGCAAAACCGCCCGAAATGTTCGAACGTGGGATTTTCTCGAAAAATGAACTTTGAAAAATGGTTTAGGGCTTATTAGAAAGAGCAAAACCTGCTCTTTCACCCCATGGAAAGAGGGAAACACAGCAATCAAAATGAAGTGAGTTATAGTCGCTGAAAGCTTAAAAACTCGGTTTTGCACGGGAACTGTTCGAACGGGGCAAATTTTTGAAAAAGGGGACAATCACTTAACTTTTTATAATCTTTTGTTAGAGAAATATTTGAAGTTTCTAAAACTTTTCACAAATTTCCAAGATGTCGCATACGAAAGATTTTATGAGCTCTCAAAGTTGGAGGTGCGCCTTCTCAGAATTTTGGGTTTTCCGCTTCTGACAGAAATACTTTTGGGAGAGTTAGGTCATCCTTGCAATTTTCTGTAAAGCCACCTCAGGCACAGTTTAAACCTACCTCAATAAGTGAAACAAATACGTCTCAAGAAAGTTACACTCTCCTAAAACTTTTTCTTCGCCGCGTCCCAGTTTTCCAGCGTCCGGGTGATACCTGCCGCGCTCCAAGGTTGACGCCGCAACGCAAACGCTTTCTGCGGCGGTTTCTGACGCAATCATGTCAGTCCTACTCTTCTTTAATCCTTCCTCTTTTTTCAGCTGTTTGAGCAGAAGTTCGTCAGTCTTCATGTTACTTGTTGGATATCCCTCCATTTGGTCTTACACATTTCGCTTTCATCCTCATTTTGGCGTGATTGTGAGCGAACAAAAATTTTGATCTCGCGAGGCTAACCATAAAAAATAGCTTTCATTAGCCAGTGCCCTGTGATTCTTGCTCCTTTGGGGCTCATCTTAGGAGATGCATTGATGGAGAACGTAACTCTCTTTGATTTACTCCCTTGAACTGCTCTTGTGATTCTTTCGGAAGCATGAAGTTTGAAGTTTTGGGCAACATGAAAAAAATATTGAATTTTTTTCAGAAATTCAATGATTTTTTGAAAACAATTCAATTCAAATTTCAGTGAAGATCTCAATATTCAAATGTTCTGTTCATATTTCATGGAAGTTCATTGTCCATTTGAAAACAATGAACTTACGAACTTACGAACACAACATTTGAATATTGAATTCTTTACTGAACATTTGAATTGAATTTTTTTCAAAAAATCATTGAATTTTTGAAAAAAATTCAATGATTTTTTGAAAATTCAATTCAAATGCCAGTGAAGAATTCAATATTCAAATGTTTTGTTCTATGTCATGGAAGTTCATTGTCTTTAAAAGGTTTTAGTTCACTGTCTTTGAAGTAAAATGAGTGAAATAAATATTTCACTTAACATTTAGTCAGCACATTCGGCACTTCCATTACCTAAGGGTCG